CGCCACAAAAGGACAGATAGAAAAAAACAACCCGCACCAGACAAATGTCAGAACATATGCCAGATAGAATACCAGAGCATATTATTTCAAATAGTGCTAAATAGTGCTAAATAGAACAGAATGTCAGAAAACATGCCAAATAAAATGTCAGAACATATGTCAGGCAAAATGTCAAACCATATACAGTATCAGCTAATCTGCCAGGAAGAATCTCAGAAAATATGCCGGACAAAATGTCAGAATATATGTGAGATGAAGTGTCAGTGCATTTACCGGAAAGCATGTCAGGTAAAATGCCAGATACATCGTCAGATAGAATGACCGCTAAAATGCCAGAACATATGTCAGACAGAATGCCAGATGAAATGTGCAAAAGAATGCCAGACAGAATGTCAGAATATAGGAATGTCAGATAGAATGCCAGATCAAATGTTAGAGAGGATGCCAAAGAACACTTCAGATCGAATGCCAGAGAACAGGTCAGATGGAATGCCAGGTAAAATGTCCCAAATCATCGTGGAATGCCAGGTAAAATTTCATATAGAATGCCAGATAAGATGCCGGAGAGAATATCAGCTAAAGCGTCAGAAAATATGAGAGACGAAATGCAAGTAGATATGTCAGACAGATTGTCAAACATTATGCTAGATATAGCGTCTGATGAAATACCAGAAAAAATATTTGAACATATGTGAGATGGAATGTCAGAATATATATGAGACAAAATGTCTTAAAATGTAGGTTTTTTTTTTGTGGCAGGTTTTGGATTTTTTTGGGTTTCTGGTTCTGTGCTTCTTTGCTTTTTAGCTTTTCTGTTTTTTCTGTTTTTCCTTGAGTCTCTGCTTGTTTACTTCTCTGCTTTTCTGCGTCTCTGCTTTTCTGCTTTTTGTTTTTCTTGCTTTTTGCTTTTCCTGCTTCTTTGTTGTTTATGCTTCTCTGCTTTACCCTGCTTTTTTTTTTTCTGCTTTTCTGCTTTTCTGCTTTTGTGCTTCTGCGCCTTTTTATTTCTACTATTCTACTTTTTGTTTTCTTCGGT